ATGATAGTGACCACACCCTGATTCCAGTACAGCTCCCCACATTATCTTCCTGCTGCTCCCCAGATGGTTACACTGGACATACAAGACTGGACCTACAATGTCTGTACTGTAAAGGTACAAACACCTGACCCTGACCACCCTGAGCAGCCAACAGCCTGTGCTCAAGCCTCTGTCTAATACCGGAGGCTACCCTGACTGACTGTGCTGGGAATCCCTACCTGGAGGGTTTCTCCCTTGACATGACTGAGGATTAATTCGCTTTGTCTGAGAAACATGGTCATTTGGTTGAAGCACATTGAGTGTGCTTGGCATGTACACAGCTGGCACTTAGTGCAGATCTGAGATTGATGTAGCATAGTGCCATACAGTAACATATCCACCCCCTTGATAGATGACTGCTGACAACTATGACATGCTGCCTGGATTTGTGTCTGTGCTGAACAGCAAGGCAAGATGGTAAGGCTTTAAGGTTGGGTTGCTGTGAGCATCTACTGTGAAGCAGGTGCAAAGTGAGTGAATGCTAAGATAGCTATTGAGTGCCCTGAGATGCTCCCTCATCCAACTGATGAGATAGATCTCATTCATGTTCAAAGTTTCCTTGCAATTGCATTACAATGGAAGATGCCACTGTGCTCTACATTAAAGCATTAAAAAGCAGAACTGTACTGTAACTGAATTGAAGGTGTGCCATGATAATGCACCGAGGCTGGCATGTGTCAGATGCTAAGATTTGTGGATGTCGGTGCTGCTGTCACTGCCCATGGGGAATGCCCTCAGACATTGGTGCTGGGTGTTCTAGATGGTGGTCCAGAGGGGTAATCGATGAGCTGGAGTTGTGTGGTCAACACTTCACCTTTTCATGTTGGGAATTCTAAGCATCTAGTTTCTATTTTTCACCCCCACCCCAGATCCCCAAGGGAACATCTAGTTTCGATTTGGTTGGTGGGAGAATGGGAAATTGCATATTAATGAAGTGAGATTAAGTAATAACGAGGTACTAATGCATACTAATACACGTGGATAGGCTTCTTGTCACTCACTAGTGAGAATCTCACTTTGCCGTTCAACACTCAGTTGGAAAATGCTCTGAATGTCTAAGGTTTTGGAGTAGATCTATAGCTCGGGTTGTGGGTGTTGAGGTTGGTTGGCACGCCGAGCTGGTTTGTTGTTCCGCAGATGTTTCGTTACCATGCTTGGTAACATCCTCAGTGCAGCCTCTGATGAAGCGTCGATGTGTTTTCCCGCCTGGTTTTTAAACTCTGGGGTCCGTTGCGATGGATTGGCTCACTTCCGGGTTTCCTCCGTAGTGGAATGTATATGGAGTCGAGTTCAATGTGTTTATTAATAGCATGCTTTGTGGAGTGCCATGCTTCCAGGAATTCTCGTGCTTGTCTCTGCCTAGCCTGTCCCAGGATCTTGGTGTTGTCCCAGTTGAAGCCGTGGTTCTCCTTGTTCATGTGGATTGAGATGAGTGAGTATTGGTCGTGTCTTTTTGTAGCCAGTTGGTGTTCATGTACTCTTGTTGTTAGTTTCCTTCCTGTTTGTCCTCTTGCACTGGCATATCCCCCAATCAACCATTACTATCAAGCCAGGGGATCAACCCTGTTTCAATGACAATGGACAGTGCGGGAGGGCATGCCAGGAGCAGCATCAGGCATACCTAAAGATGAGGTGTCAACCTTAAGAAGCTACAACACAGGACTACTTGCTTGCCAAACAGCATTAGCAGTAAGTGATAGGCGGAACTAAATGATCCCTTAATCAACAGATCACACCTAAGTTATGCAGTCCTGCCACATCCAGTCGTGAATGGTGGTGGACAATTAAACATATTATTGGAGGAGGAGGCTCAGCAAATATCCCCATCTTCAATGATGGAACAGCCCAAAACATCAATGCAGGTGAGGAGGTTGAAGCATTTGCAGCAGTCTTCAGCCAGAAGTACTAACTGGATGATCCATCTCCTCCAGTGGTCCCCAGCATTACAAATACCAGTCTTAAGCAAATTTGATTCACTCCACATGATATCAAGAAACGATTGGAGTCATTGGATACTGCAAAGGCTACAGGCCCTGACAACATTCCGGCAATAGTACTGAAGACTTGTGCTTCTGAATTTACCGCTTCTCTAGCCAAGCTCTTCCAGTCCAGTTACAACACTGGCATCTACCCGACAATGTGAAAAATTGCCCAAGTATATACTGTACATAAAAAGCAGGACAAATCCAACCCGGCCAGTTACCGCCCCATCAGTCTCCTCTCGATCATCAGTAAAGTGATGGAAGGTGTCATCAACATTGCTAACAAACCGCACCTGCTCAGCAATAACCTGCTCGGTGACGCCCAGTTCGGGTCCTGCCAGGGCCATTCACCATCTGACCTCATTAGAGCCTTGGTTCAAACATGGACAAAAAAAAAAACTCAACTCTAGACGTAATGTTCTTGTAAAGTAATTTAGGATTTTTCTTTATTTTAACTGCCATTATTCCTTCATACTCCCTTTTTAGCTCTTCTCATTCCCTTTTTAAAGTTTACCCCTTGTATATTCTGTATTTCTCTCAGGCTTCTGCTGTTTTGAGCCCTTACTATCTGCCTTTTTCCTTTTCATCCAATCCTCTATGAACCCTGGATATCCAGGGTTCACAAGATTTGTTACTACTACCACCACCTTTTGGCTTTATTGGAACATGTTAGGTTTCAGTTTCTATTCCTGTTCATGATAGTTGAGCAATTTACAGGAAGCACTGATTAGAATATGAAAGATTTCCAAAGGGCAAATTCCAGAAGAGGGGGTGCGCAGCAGAATCTGCTGTATTCACATTATCATTATTATGTTGGTCTTGGTGCAATAAATAGTTGATTGATTTGATTTGATTGTCACATGTAGTCAAGTATAAAAGTACAGGAGTATAGTGAAAAGTGTATAATGTCTTCACACAAGGCACCATCTTAGGCACAAGTTCGTAGGTACAGAATCTTAAAAACAAGAAAGAACAAACTTAAAGGTTAAACAGTGCAGTAATTATAGTACAGTGTAAGTAGTAAATAAAGAAATAAAGCTGAAAAGTTCGAACACTAGTAGGTCTTTCTCAAGTGCTTAGCCACAGCAGGACTGCGCTTTGAGGAGTCAATGCTGGAAGTCTATGCTGATGCCACATTGGGCTGAGAGACAGCCCCAAGACCACCAAGCCAGGCTGGGAGTCCACCATGCCGAGTAGATGTCACGCCAGGCCGAGAGGCCACCATGCCAGGCCGGGTCTGCGTTGAGTCCCAAGGCTGAGAGTGGAAACGAGAGAAGACAAAAGCAGAAGGAAGAAACGGCACGGTGGCTCAGTGGTTAGCACTGCTGCCTCACAGTGCCAGGGACCCGGGTTTGATTCCACCCTTGGGCGACTGTCTGTGTGGAGTTTGCACATTCTCCCTGTGTCTGCATGGGTTTCCTCCGGGTGCACCAGTTTCCTCCCACAGTCCAAAGATGTGCAGGCTAGGTGGATTGGCCATACTAAATTGCCTGTAGTGTTCAGGGGTGTGTAGCTTAGGTGAGTTATAGGAGGATGGGTCTGGGTGGGATGCTCCAAGGGTTGATTGGACTTGTTGGGCCAAAGGGCCTGTTTCCACGTTGTAGGGATTCTATGAAAAAGGAACCAGATGGAGTAAACAAGTACACAACAGTACGACAGAAAACATTCACTGCAGACCTAACAAATCCCACAACACATTTTGGTATTTACTCTCCCCATTTCCTTCTTGGATGTGTCCCATTGCTCGGACACAGATCTACCCAATCGTGTCTGTTCCCAATCCACTCTGGTCAAATCATAACTGATCTTATTAAAATTAGCCCTCCCACAGTTTATCCTCCTTATTGCTGTAACGGATTCCCTGATCAATTGTGATATCATCTCCTCTTAACTCCTTCCCTGAAGACCCTATATCTTGGAATATTGATTTACCAATATCCATAAGTTAAATATTTGCAATTATCAACTTGCAATAAATGATAAAAGTAAAATTCTGTGGATGCTAGAAATTTGAAGCAGAAACAAAGGATGCTGGACAAACCTGCAGGGCTAACACGGACTTCAGTACGACTCAAGATTGAAACTGATTCGTCATACTGAATTCAAAACTTTAACTGTTTCTCCGTCCACAGACACTGCTAAGTTTCTCCAGCACTTTGTTTTTATTTCAGGCATCTAGTGATATTCCTTTTTAATTGTAACTACCAGATTTCTTATTGCAAAATTGCACATTCATCTATACTGCTAATTGCCTGTCCCCCATTCAGCTCTGAAGGTACAGCTTCTAACTTTCAGGACGCCTGTCAATTACGTTATTGCATTGAAGGGAACTGGCAACATTAATGAAAGACTATTACATAGAACATAGAACTGTACAGCACAGTACAGGCCCTTCGGCCCACGATGTTGTGCTAACCTATTATCCTACTATGATCAAACTACCCTGCATACCCTACATTTTACTACCTCCATGTGCCTATCCAAGAGTTGCTTAAAAGTCTCTAAAGTATCTGACACCACTACCACTGCCGGCAGTGCATTCCACATGTCCACCACTCTCTGCGTAAAGAACCTATCTCTGATGTCTCCCCTATACCTTCCTCCAGTCACCTTAAAATCATGCCCCCTCGTAATAGTCATTTCTGCCCTGGAAAAAGTCTCTGACTATCCACTGAATCTATGCCCCTCATCATCACCTCTATCAAGTCATCTCTCATCCTTCTTCACTCCAATGAAAAAAGCCCTAGCTCCCTCAGCCTTTCCTCATAAGATCTGACCTCCAGTCCAGGCAGCATCCTGGTAAATCTCCTCTGCACCCTCTCTAAAGCTTCCACATCTTTCCTATAATGAGGTGACCAGAACTGAACACAATATTCCAAGTGTGGTCTAACCAGAGTTTTATAGAGCCGCAGCATACCCTCGTGGCTGTTAAACTCAATTCCCTTGCCAATGAAAGCCAACACAGCATACTCCTTCCTTACAACTGCTCTCACAAAAAAAAGCTTACAGGATTTTATTTCAATAAAGTTAAGTAAACTACGAGCATTCGTATCAACTTTAAAATCAATAATTATGGCAGCTTGCAGTGTTTTAGTTCAAAATCTAATAAGCTATTATGGAAAATAAAACTGATATCTGTTGATTACACTAATTTTAAATGTAACTTACTAGCACATCAAATAGGACTTTCTGGAAACTTCCTATATTTTACTATTATATCAATGTTAATAGGGGAAAGGCCTGGTCAGAGAAACAGGGAAGAGTGTCTACACTTCACACCAGCTTCTAAATTTGAACTAACTGCAAAACAAATGTTACTGTAGCCAAGAGGGGGTTTGGGGCGAGGGTTGGTACTCTATTTTCAATACATTTCAGGCAGGTGGCAATACAGAGCACCAGCTCACCCGGGGAAGCATCGCAGGAAGTCACAGGACTCTGAAGTTAGTTTATATGGCAACCACAATTTAAACGCGGCTGCCTGACAAAGAAATAGTGCCTTTCTGAACTTAATTTTCATGTGTACGTTCGGTTTTCATAGAAATAAAAGATATTAAAAAAATTTAGTCTGACAATTTTTTAAACTGCCTTAAGGCCACTACTTAATATTTCTAGGCAAAAATTTTTACGTTGCTATATTGTACTTAAACTTTTGCAATAATCCACAATAATACAACACAATTTGACAATCTGCAATCAGAAATCTTGCAACAAACCATACAACACTGAGAAATACACCACATTCTGCTAAGTCTGACAACCTTAACAGCGGCTTAAAAGGAACCAACTTTGATTGAACATTTCATTGGGTATTACGTAAATGTTAGGACTGTTTCTATAGTAACGAAGCCCGTTTATCGAAACTGGCCGATACTTCAGCTCCCTGTTGCTTTGGGAGTGCGCCTCGGGTTTCCGTTTCTATTTCTCTCCGTGATAGGAAGCGCCGACCGGAGCGTGAAAGATTTCATAATTTTCCAATGGGCAAATACCAGCAGAGTGAGTAAGTAGCAGAATCTGCCGACTTCACACGCCCGTTGTGTGGGTCTAGATACAATACATCGTGCGTACAACAATGCAACAAAAAGCAGACCTAATAGAAATCCCACAACACACTTTGATAAATTATTTACAGCGTGGTAATGCAAGCCGAATACAAGAGGATGCGGTGACATAGTTCATAGTCAAATGCATTAAAATAGATTTATTCTCGCAAAAGAAAGTTGAATCAATAATATATTACAAACTTCAGGAATCGACAGTTCGATACACTTTGCTGAAACTCCTGGAGAATTCTTAATTCCAAAGTTCACCACATATCGGTTTGGCATTAATCTAGATTAGGCCGTTCACTTACTAGCAAAGTAACATTTTTAAAATTATGTATAAATATATAAAGTCTGTTTATAAAAATCGCTAAAAAAGGATAAATACGGCATTATGTTAAGTTTGAATGGGCAGTGCCGCCTGCAGTCAGTTTAAAGTCCAGAGTTCGGAGGAGATGAGATATAGGTAATTCGGCCAGAGCCTCCGGGAATTTCTCGGGGTCGATCGTCCTGATTAAAGTTTGCATGGCCTTTATGAAGAGGGGAGCGGGGCTGAAGCCCGAGAGCCATTGGAAGAGCTGTGTCCCCAGAAGTGTCTGCCAGAAACTGGCATTGTCCTTCAACGCCGCCTTCATCTGAAACTGGAGTCGGGGCATGAAGAGCAGGAGGTGGTGCAGGCAGCTGATCTTCCTGGGACTATCCAGGGGACTAGAGCCCAGTTGCTGCAGTAAGGTGTCCAGTGCCGTGTCTCCGCGGCAGTCCCTGATGTAAGGGGAAGAGCCGTGACCGAGCAGCAGGGTCAAGCACTCGGGCCTGGCCAGCTCGCACGCCAAATGCAGCGGGGTCTTGCCGCTCTCCACATGCTCGCAGCCCCGGCGGTCGATGTACTGGCGCCGCTCATTCTCCGGTAAGTGCTGCAGGCTGGACAGGATCCGCGCCAGGGTGGCGACCCGGTTATAGCGCACAGCCATGGCCAGGTGCTGGCCGAGGGCCGAACAGCAGCAGAAGCTGGTGCTGGGCATAGCCAGGGCAGCCCGGGGATGCTCAGCCAGTAGGTACCGGGCGTATGCCTGATGGTCATGTACAAGGGCATAAAGCAAAGCCTCGGACGGCGAATAGCTGCTCATGCGGCCGCTGTCCTCCCAGTGGAACACCTCCATGGTCCTCATCTCCTCCAGCATCCAGACGGGCAGCAGGTCCCGTACCGCCTGGTAGAAAGCGAATGATGATTTCCTGCAGCGTTTCCGCCACCGGGATTCCTGCTGACCGTTCCCGGGACTGCTGGAGCTCAGATCCCAGGGCATGGCCGGGCTGGAGGGAGGGGGAGAGCCGGGCTCCCAGGCAGAGGGACACCGGTCCGAGAAGCCTCAGCCGTGCTCCTGGTCTTCTTTCGCTAACTCCAGGTACACGCAGCTCTCCCTGGGTCACAGATTCAACCCCTCCTTAGAAGCCGGGCACTCTGCTTCCTGCACTCTCTTTGTAGCCGTAGCGCAGACAGGAGGCTTTAACCATTGGCCGCTTGCAGCCAGTCCCCACCCCATTTCCCAAACTTCGATCCCCAGATCCCTCCCCCCACCCACCCCGTGAACCGCCCCCCGGGACCCGCCTCTGGGGATGGCCAAAACGAAAACCAGACCTTTTATGTTAAAAAAAAACCCCTCCAAAAACACAACCATTACTGTAACATGGCCATTGTCCCATATGCAGCTCTTTCGTACACACCCATCCCCCCACCGTATCCATGATTTGTGTTCCTCAGCAGCCCACCTCATCTTCATAACGCAATATAAACCAAAAGAACGATGCTGTAAATCAGAAACACAAACGGAAATTGCTGGAAAAGGTGTGGCAGCATCCGTGCAGAGAAATGTGAGTTAACCTCGATCTGAAACGTTTAACTCTGATTTCTCTCCACAGATGCTGCCAGACCTGCTGAGCTTCCCCAGCGTATTTCTGTTTTTGTTTCATCTTTATAACATCCCTATCGCATAGATCAAGAGTCATCCCACCAGATTTTCCGGGCGGTGGCAATCGTACGCAGGATTTTCCTTACTACGAAAGAAGGGAGCGCTGCAGTCTCTGAGCAGATTCTGCTCAGAGTTCATTCAGAAACGCGGACCCTACTTCCAGAGATAACAAGGTGTGGAGCTGGAGGAACACAGCAGGCTGGGCAGGGAAGCTGACGTTTCAGGTGGGAACCCTTCTTCAGAAATGGGAAAGGGGGGAGAGAGCTCTGAAATAGAGGAGGGGTGGGGCTGGGGAAGGTAGGTGGGATGGTGATAGGTGAGTGCAGGTACGGAGTGGTGGGGATTGGTCAGTGAGGTGGGAGGCGCGGATAGGTGGGAGAGAAGATGAGATGACAAGGTGTAGAGCTGGATGAACACAGCAGGCCAAGCAGCATCAGAGGAGCAGGAAGGCTGATGTTTCGCGCCTAGACCCTTCTACAGAAAATCATTTTCTGAAGAAGGGTCTAGGCCTGAAACATCAGCCTTCCTGCTCCTCTGATGCTGCTTGGCCTGCTGTGTTCATCCAGCTCTACACCTTGTTATCTCAGATTCTCCAGCATCTGCAGTTCCTACTATATCTGGGAGAGAAGATGGACAGGTTGTGTCAGGTCAAGGAGGCGGGGATGAAAGGGATGGTGGTCATGGGATGAGGCCAGGGCTGGGGAGATTTTGAAACTAGTGAAGTCCACATCAAAAGCATTGGGTTATAGGCTCCCAAGGCGGAATATGAAGTGCTGCTCCTCCAGTTTGCTGGTGGCAACATTGTGATACTGGAGGAGGCCCAGGATGGACATGTCACCCAGGGAGTGGGAGGGAGAGTTGAAATGGTACACAATCGGAAGGTGTTGCTGTTTGTCGCGAACAGAGCTCAGGTGCTGTAAAAAGCCGTCTCCGAGCCTCCACTTGGTCTCACCTTCCAGAACTATTTACAGGAAGGCAAATCTGAACCCCTTTTTCACAGCAGCTGTATACTCACAGGAATATCAGTAGACTGATTCCAGAGATGAGGGGATTATCTTTGGAAGAGAGAGATTAAGCAGGTTCTGCTTACACAGTTTGAAGGGTGAGAGGAGATTTACTTGAGGTATATAAAATGTTAAAGGGGATTGACTAGTAGATTTAGAAAGGAGACCTGCATTGAAGTCCCACCTGTGCCAGAGATGTACAATGATATCTCAGAACTAGGCTAAGGAGAGGCAAATTTAAAGCAGAAATGAGGAGGAACTACTTCTGTCAAAGGGTAATGAATCTATGGAATTCATTGCCGGAAAGAGCAGTGAATGGTAGTAAATCTGAGGAGGAGATAGACAGATTTTGATTGGGTTAAAGAGTGATGGAGAGAAGGTAGGAAAGTGGGTTTGAGGCCAAGATGAGATCAGCCATGATTGTATTAAATGGTGGAGCAAGCTGGAGGGGCTGAATTGTCAACTCCTGCTCCTAGTTCCTATGTTCTTATTCTGAAAGGCAGTGTGTGCTGACATAAACATACTCCTCTCCCCCTTGATTGCCACCACTCACAATCCCTTTCTCACACTACTCACAGTCCCATTCTCACACCATTCACAGTCCCATTCTCACACCACTCACAGCCCCATTCTCACACCA